CATTCCGCCTCCTCACTGTGAAGCTTCAGGAAGCTGAACAAGTCTAAGGGAAAATTTTTCATTTTTCACATTTTCTCAGGTTGCCATGACCAAAGAAATACTTGCTGGCCCACATACTAGAAATGAGCCCCCTGCACACTTAGCTAGTGACACTGCCTTTGACTAGTATTATATTTTTAGATCCTTTAAAGCCTATAGAAGAAAGAAGTGACATGCTCCTTACACTTGAGAAACTTATAGGGCAGCTAGGTGGTGCAGTGAATAGAGCCCTGGCCTTGGAGTCAGGAGGACCTGAGTTCAAATCCAGCCTCAGACACTTAAAACTTACTAGCTATGTGACCCTGGGCAAGTCACTTAACCCCATTGCCTAGCAAAAGAAAAAAAAAAGAAACTTATAGGTTAGTTGAGGAGACCAGACATTCATACCTGAAAAGAAAAAGGAAATAATTAGAAAGGAATCTATAATTGAATGCAGTGTGCATAAATATTAATTAAGGAAGTGATCCCTCTTCTCCCCTCTCCCTCCTTCCCTCCCACTTTCAAACAATGAAAATGACAAAATCAATACCAAGTGTCTTTATTATTTGCCTGATAATATCCTGATTTGCCTTGGCTGAGTGAACAAAGGACATTTTATGAGTGAAAGTTTATTAAGAACCACAAGTGTACCTGAATCTATAGAAGAAGGCTTTGTACAGAATTGGACTTGAGGTTCAGAATCTAAATGAGGCAGAGAAGAACTGGAATTTGGTTGTGGAGGACAATAAGGAATTCAATGATGTGGTGATGCAGGGCAGTAACTTGGGTGACCTAAGAAGGATTTCTTGAAAATAATGAAAATTAAGGGGAAATTTGTAGTGCCTCATTGAATATGTACAGAAGGTGCTGTACATAGATCATCCCACGAGCTATGGTGCCAGTAGTCTCCACCTTCAAATGATTGGATATTTGCTACTTGGTTTGGATACTTGCTACTTGTACACTTAGACTGTAGGTCTTACTTTGGAGGAGGAGAAGATCACAAGTGTTCTCAACATAATCTTTCCTGCTGGGATTCAGCAGTCCCAAATGAACTTCTGAGAATACTGAAAGAACTAGCAGATGCATGGACTGAGTCATCTTTGAAAGAATGGGAATGGAACTGCATGACTGAAGAAGGGCAAACATTCTCCATTTCCCAAAAAGGGAAGAGGATAGATTCTTCAAATACAGGTCTCTGATCTTGACTTCAATTCTTAGCAAAATTCTAGAACGTGATATTAAAGAGATGGTTAGTAGTTCTCTAGAAAAGGAAGCAATAAACACAGAGAGCCACAGGGCTTTATAAAGAATCAAGGACAAATCATACCAGAAAAATCTTATTTCCTCTTTTGACAGGGTTACTAGACTTGTCCATTAGAGGAATGATATAAATGTAATTTAACTAAGGTTTATTTTAGCAAAATATTTGATAATCTCATGCTATTCTTATGAAAAGGTTAGAGAAACACTGGATAGATGAAGTACAATTGAATGGCTTTGGAACTGGTCAAAAGGCTAGACTTAAAGAGTAATAATTAATGATTCATTGACACATTGGAAGGAAGTGCCCAGTGGACCACCCTAGTGATCTGTGCTTGGCCCTGTACTGTGTAACATTTTTACCAGTGACCCGAATAATAGCATAGATAGTGGACTTATCATCAAATTTGCAGGTGATTCAAAACTGGGGGAGATAACTAACACACTAAGTAAGTGATAGGATTAAAAAGGATCTAGCCAGGCTAGAACATTGGACCAAACTTAATAGAATGAAATTCAGTAATAATAAATGTAAAGTCTTGCACTTAGGTTCAGAAAATCAGTTTCACAAGCACAAGATGTATTGGCAGGGGGGAGATGCGAGGCAGGGACACCAGTTAGCAGGCTACTGCAGTAGTCTAGGCAAGAGGTGGTTATGTGAGTGAAGATAAGAGGCAGATGCAGGAATTGCTGTAGAGGTAGGAGCAAGGAGGAGGTTGGAAAACTGAGGGGATCTTTGGGGCAACAGCTAATAACGAGGAGCTGACAGTGCCATCGAGGCTGTTAACCTGCGTGACGAGTGGTGCCCTTTATAGAAATAGGGAAATTCAAGAGAGGAATATGTTTGAGGGGAAAGTTATCCATTTCGGACACATCAGACACATGCCTGTGTGACATCCAGTTGGAAATGCCAGATAGAAAATTAGTGAAACAGGATTAGGTCTCAGGAATGAGAGTAGGGCTGAACATATAGGTGTAGGAATTATGTGCACAGAGCTGTTAATTAAACCCGCTGGGCCCAGTTGAGATTAGATAATATAAATTTGTAATGAATCCAATCATCTCAGTTGCATGACGTCTTCTACCTCCATTCTACAGCATGTGAGGAGGAGCTGAGAAGGCAGATGGTGGGAGTGTTCCAGAGTTGGGGTTTGGTAAGGCATAAGCAGCAATAGAACAGGGGGAGGGGGAAAGGAAGCATTTATATAGCATCTACTGTATGCCAGGCACTGAGCTAAGAGCTTTACAAATATTATCTCAGATCATCACAACAACCCTGGGAGGTAGATGCTATTATTATACTCAGTTTACAGTTAAGGAAACTGAGGCAGACAGAGTTTTGTTTTTGTTTTTGTTTTTTTGCAACTGGCCCAGAATCACACATCTAGTAAGTGTCTGAGGGCAGATTTAAACTCAGATCTTCCTGACTCCAGGCCCAGCACTCTTTCCACCAAGCCATCGGCTGCCTATAAAGGGAACAAAAGATTTGAATGTAGAGGCCAATGTAGTTTTGAGCTGGCTAAGGTCAAGATGGAATATAGGGAGGGAGAAGAGTGAAGCCTGAGTAGAGCTGATGGCTTGTGAGATTACAGAGGGTTGAAAGGATTGTGAGTCATGGGCGGGATAAATCAATCCGACAGCAAGCGAGTGTGGCATGCTATACTCTGTGTTAAGAGATGTACATGCAAATGCAAAAGCAAAACATCTTCTGTCCTTAAGTAATTATTTTATCATGAGGAAAACAACATGGAAATGACTGGTGACACAGCATTGGAGCCGTAGGAAAGACCAAGATGGTATATATAGACCTAGGAGGCAGCTGGTGGCACCATAGATGGAGCACTGGGCCTGGGGCAGGAAGACTCAAACCCAGCCTCAGATACTTCCCAGCTGAGTGACCCTGGACAAGTCACTTAACCTCTGTTTGCCTCCATGACCTCAACTGCAAAAAGGGGATGACAATCACAGCACTTACCTCCCAGTATTATTGTCAGGATCAAATGAGATAATATCAGCACAGTGCCTAGCATGTAGTAGATACTTAATAAATAATTGTTTCCTTCCTTCTTTCATACACATGAAGTTTATAATTAAAACCATGGGAGCTGATGAGGTCTCTGAAAGAGAGATAGAGAGAGTGGTAGGGAGAGGAAAGAATGGGGTTCACGACAGATCCTTGGGGTATACCCACAATTAAGGGCCATGTTATGAATGATGGTCTAACAGAGGAGACTGACAGGCAGTAATCACACTGGTATGTACTATGGGTGTGAATCTATATGTGTATACATATATACACATATATATAGAACACCAATTAAACACAAGGTTTAGGAAGAGTAAAATAGAGCGAGAGATGGAAGTGATAGGAGGTTACAACTGGATAAAGGAATTTCTAGTTCTTGATCATAAAGTGAAACAGTTGTGGCTGATGGGGAGATGAAAGGGGTGATCATCCTTTCACTGAGGGGAAATCCTGGGAATGGAGTCAGAAGTTTACTGTGAGTCAACGGCAATGTGACCAGGCAGCCTGGAAGGCTGATGCAATCCTAGGCTACATTGAGAGGAACATCGTGCCCAGGGCTAGGGAAATTATGGCCCTACTCTGTTCTGCCCTGGTCAGGCCAGATCTGCAGCCTAGAGTTTTCTTTTAAGAAGGACGTCATTATGTATAATCAATACCATATTGCTTACCTTCTCAAAGGGCAGAAGAAGAGCAGGAAGGAGGGAGAGAATTTGGAATTAAAAAATTTTTTAAATGGATGTTAAATTTTTCTTACATGGAATTGGGAAATATTTAACAAAATAAAGAAAAAACAAGATCTAAAAAATAAAAAGGAGGTGTTAGCTGGAGGGCAATCAAGGTGAAAGACCTCAGTTTCAGACCATAATAGGACTGGTTGAGGGGAAGTGGAGCTGTTTAGCCTAGGAGAGAAAAGACGTGATAGTTGCCGCTAAGTACTAGAAAGGTTGTCATTTAGAAAAGAAAATTAGAATTGTTCCTCTTACTCCAAGATCAGTGGCTAGAAGGTGCAAGATACATCTTTAGGGTTCACCTGAAGAAAACCTTCCTACCCATTAGAGCTACACAAAAGTGGCATTGCCTGCCTCAGGAGGTAGTGGGTTTTCCCTCACTAAAGGTCTTCAGGCGGAGATTAGGTGCACGCTGGTTAGGTGTGTGGGAAGATCGATTCTTGTTCAGTAAGGGTTAGATCAGATTGTCTCCAAGGTCCTTTCCAACTCCAAGATTCTTTGATCCCTTAGAGCTATAGAGTATTTCACTAAATAAGATACAGGAGCAGAACAAGAACTTTCTACTTCGGGGGAGTGGTTTTTTTTTAACACCCTCCCCCCACCTCTCTTAAGCATTGGGAACTTGCTTGATTAAGCCCCATTATACCTGGGAAGTGAGTCTGGCTTTCTGCAGTGGCAGGTGATGGGAGTTCTCAGTCCTCCTTCCTTCATTTCCAGGAAACACAAGAGTCAAAAGGAAGTAGCTAGAATTCCCGGTCCTTTGAAATACCCTCAGCCAATGAATGCCATCCGTAATGTTAGTAGTGTCTGGAGGCTGAGACCATTTTTCATATAAAGAAGGTCCACAGCAGAGGCAGGAGAGAAAAAAGAAAGAAGCTTGTATGGCCAAGTGAAGTTAAGCAGGATGACTAATGATGCTTGTTTGGTGGCCCCAAAGCCATAAGTGGCTGCTTTTTCTCTTACAGGCCTTTGAGGATATCTATATTGAGCAGAGGAAAACCATCCGCACCATCCTGGAATATGCAGACAAGGTCTTCACCTACATCTTCATCCTGGAGATGTTGCTCAAATGGACAGCCTATGGCTTTGTCAAGTTCTTCACCAATGCCTGGTGCTGGCTGGACTTCCTCATTGTGGCTGTACGTGTCTCACTTACTATTTCCCACCCTTTCTAGCAAGGAAATAGACATAGGGAAACTGGGCCATCTGAACTCTTCTTGGGAGGATCTGGTAGGGTCGGGCTAGGGAGTGGAGGCTCAATATAAGGGTGGATGGAGGGGGTTGGACTTTCAAGGGAGAGAAGTCTCCAAAATGGTGGGTTGGAGTAGTTGTGAACTTCATAAAACGGAAAATGCTTTGGGCACAAGTCAACTAGCCCTTAGCCCCTTAGAAAGGGTCTGTGGAGCAGCAGTTTGGGGCTGGGAATTGTACCTGTTGGTCTTAGAATGCAGTGGCTAGAAAGCAGCCCAGTGGCAAACAGGACGAGAAGCATCCTTGGCCTCCAGATTAGTATGAATTCTCTCTCTCTCTTTCTTTCTCTGTTATTGGGAGGAAGGAAAAAAAAGCAAACTCTGAATAGGGAAGAAGGCAGTGGAGAAGTGAACTCTCAGAGTTCTTCTCCTGGCCAGGCCCGTAGACCCAGAGGCATTATCCATTCAGTTTGATTCTCTGCGCCAGGCTGCTCTGAATAATACAATACATATGGAGAAAGGATAAGACTTTTCCCAAGAAAGTAAAGTTGACCTATTTGTTTTCTGAAATGAGAGTTTGAGGAATCAATGGCTGATGATATTAATCAATGGCCATTGATTAATGGCTATTTCCCAATACTCAGGTTTTATAAAATGAGTATGCCATAGAAACGGGGCCTGGCCTGGCTGTTGATGTTTTAAGAAAGTCACATTGGGCGAATCTATCTCCTTGCCTACTACCACCTCCTTCCACATTAAGGACCAAACATCAGAAGACTTTTTCTTCTGCACTTCCCACCCCCCCATGCTTGGAGACCACTTTGGGGTGACAAGCATTACCTTGAATATTATTTTCGTGAATGTTTTCTTTCCAGTTGAAGGTCGAATTGCCCATGACTCTTCCTTAGCCCCCTGTTACTTATTCCTTGTTGGCTTTATTAACAGGGGAAGTATTTTTTCCTGAGTAATAACTGAAGCCCACTTCTTCCAGCTGAAGCGGCCTCTTAAGGAAAGGGTGAATGGAGATGGCAGAGAGCACAGCGCCAGTACCTGCGGAGAATTCCTTTCCTGCTGAGTACAGAAAAGTGCCAAGGAAGCAAAGCTGTGTAGAGGTTGGGTTAGTTCAGTTAACTTTTAGGTCTGATTGGCTGCACAACGGGAGAGATGCCGAGGAACCGATTTAGATCTAGACAGAAGCCCATCGAAATGGCTCTTAGGAAACAAGCCCAGAGATGGGAGCTAGAAATGGTTTTTTCCCCCACCTCCCCAGCTTCTTTGTGCTTGGCTCCAGGGACTCCTTCCCAGAAGGCTGGTTCTGTTCCATTCCAGCACTTGATGCTGAAGGCCTAACTTCAGGGACATTGAGCTTCTTGCTAGAACTGGGCTTGGTGGTAAGTGTCATGGTTTTATGGGATAAAGGCACATCAGAGTGAGAAGACAACAAAGGAGATTTCATTGTTCCTTTCAAGCCGATTTGTGTGTCAGATAATGGATTAATCTGTAGCTCTGCCCTCTTGGAGCAACTGTGAAGCTGAAGGAGAACTACAATGGAACTCAGGTGATCTGCTCTAAGCCTAGACCTACTCTCGTTCCAGGTGACTTTGGGCTGGTTTAGGGAGCTCTGGTCCATCGCATTGCTTTATTCTGATTTGTCCTAAGAAGGACCATGGAGACCCAGTTTGTGTTTTGACTCTTTGAGAGTCTAGAGCCAATAGGAAGCCTTTTCTAGACCTTTAAGAGGTCCAAGAAGTTATAGGTTAAAGTAAGTTCTTTGCCCTGTCCCATCCTGCTCTGAACTCACTTTTCTAGCCATTTTGAGGTAAACAGCCCTGCAGTTCAGAGGTATGTGCCTAACGACCAATGGTGTCCATTAGGTGTTATAGCTACTTATTAGGTACTTTTCTGTCCTCCACTTCCTCATTCTTTCATTCATTCGCTTGACAAATATTGGTTAAATACCTATTTTGTACAAGGTTCTGTGAATGATACAAAGATTGCAGACATATAGCCAATAGACACAGTAGTCAAAGGCTTCATTGGAATGTTGGTTTGGCATTGTATCATCCTAGGACAGAACCCAACACAAGCTCCAGGGAGCTTCTCTACCTTCTTCCTTTTATTTGTTTGTTTGCTTTTTGGTGAGGCAATTGGGGTTAAGTGACTTGCCCAGGGTCACACAGCTAGTGTTGGGTGTCTGAGGCCAGATTTGAACTCAGGCCCTCCTGACTCCAAGGCCAGAGCTCTATCCACTGTACCACCTAACTGCCCTTTTTTAAATATTTTTTCTCTACCTTCTTAATGATTAAGTCACATAGTATTTTCTTTCTGTCCCTCAGCGAGCATTTACTATACACAGGCACTGTGCCAGGCCCTGGGAATACACAGACAAAATTGGCCCTGCCTGCAAGGGGATTATACTCTATCTGGGGGGATGGGTACATATTTAGGGACATATCCGGAATAAATGCAAAATGAAGACAAGGAGAGAGAACATGAGGGATCGGGAGAAACTGCATCAGACCTTGACCTGAGTCTTAAAGGAATTGAACAAGGCACGGGGTGCAAGGGAAGTGCTTTCCAAATACTGGGGCCAGCTCTGTGACGGGAAATGGATTGTTGTGTGTGAGGGCAGCCAGAAGGCCAGGCTGGCTGGACTGTGCCGAGAGTGTGAGAAGGGGAAGGACAGAGAGTCACTTAGTTGCCACCTTCACATTGGAGCTGGCAGGGAGGACCAGGGCTGTCACTGTCCCAGCAGGTGCTCTTTTGACTGCCCAAAGCTTCCTTGGCACTTTTCTGTAAAAAACAGCAGGTACAAGTTTCGAGTCCTGATTCAGTACACTGTCTCTCAAAGGCTCCCCTAGCGACGTGTGGACTGCTGCTAAGCCACTCCCTCCGCCCATTGCTTTTCCACCAGGATGTTTTTGTGTCTGAATCAGTTTTCCCTCACCATGTTCATCATGTCTAACAGATTTCCTTTCCTCCCTGACAGGCCTCCCAGGCTGTTGTACTATGAATGCCACACATCTCATTCTTTACCCACTTTCTTTCTTAGTGTCATGAGGAAATCCAGGTAACTTCCAATTTATTTTTCTTTTCCTCTGCAAGACAGTTGACTCTCAAGGACATGAGTTTGGAACCACTTGTGATTAGATCCTCATCAACACTGAAGACACTTCCTCCCATTGCAGTGGGGTCAGTGGGGGTGGGGTTATATTCCCTTTCTCCACAGAGAACAGTGTTCAACCCTGGGATAAGCCAGTGTGCCATGCTCGGGGCTGGAGATCTTCAAATTATACCAACTATCTCCTGGAATTGGTAACCATGGAAACATTCTCCATTCAACAATGTTCACATCAATGTGGAAATCTCTTGGCATCCCCTTCATCTTTCCAGCCCTACACCATCCCCCAGACTCCCCACGTGTTGTTCCCTGATCTTCATTTTAGGTTTGAGCCTCCTTCTTGTTCCTTATGTCAGCCTAAGTGGTGTTCTGCATATTTCCACCAGAGGCCTCAGTATGGAGACTTGGAGAATTTTAAGTGAGTCTCTCAACTTATTGTATGATGATCCAGGCAGCTCTGTCTTTGCCCACCACCATCTATCTTGATAAATCTCTACAGGACTGACCAGTTGAGCAGCCAAATCTTATCAGCAGCAACTGGGGACAGGTCATCTACAGCAGCTTCTGAATTGGTCTCTGTGCTCCCCCAACCCCTTTCCCCACTTTAGGTGGATGTATTTATCTTAGGTTTAACCACCCACCCTGATGAGCTGGGTTCAGTGTGCCTTGCTTGGGAAGCCACTAAGGAGGGAGTTCCTAGGCTTTTTATAAAGAGGTGGTTAAACAGGACAACTATGGGTCGGCTTTGATCAAGTGCCTCAGTTAGGGACAAGACAATTTCATCGATGCATTACATTAATGTCTCTCCCAAAATCCAGTACATGGAGAATGACTGGGGCTAGTATTATCTTCATATGGAAACCCTAGATTAGGCAGCATGGCACTGAATGGACTTTAATTGCCCCCTTCTGGTGGTGATGATAAAGAGGACAACAGATTGGTGGGTGCTGCTGCTTTCCCTATTTTCCTCTACATTTATCTTGGGCAAGATTGAAATCTGTGCCACTGGATCTTGTGCTGGCCATATCTACCATGTCCTTTGTAAATCTTTCTGATATTGGTGTTTTCAGTAATCTTTGGGAAGCCTCTGCAGCCCCAACTCCTATTTCAGTTAAACCCCTTGGAACTTGACTTAACTGCCTTGATAAGATTCTGTCCCCAGGTAGGGCAGGAGGCAGGTTCTCTATCTGCATTCCTTGGACAGCCCTGTAAAATGACTTTTAACTTTCAGAAAACCCATTGGTGTCCTCCTGGAGCTTAGAACATTCTGGGCTTAAGAAATCTGCTTCATTAAAGGTCCCATAACTTGAAAAAAATGTAAATCCTTGAGTCTTTATATCCTTGGGATCTGAATTTCTCCCTGCCCCAGACCCACCTATGCCGATCCTCTGCTCTGATTATTCCTTCTTTAAAAAAAAAAAAAACAACAACCCAAAATGTCTTCATTCAATCCAGAGGCACAGGAATTACATATTTAAATGCTAACATAGAATACAGAAAAGGCAGCAAATAAAACTACTCTGTATTTTTCCAACTCTGCCTTAAAATGTCACCCTATCAAAAAACAACAACAAATTAAAAATGGCCCTATATTGTATACACTAGGGTTTATTTGTTTGTTTTTCTTAGAACCAAATTAGGAAGTATTATAGTGAGAGTCCTGGAAGCTAGAATTCAGTTTCCCAGCTGGATGAACAAAAGTCAGACCATAGCAAAATCCAGGACCAGTGCAGCCCTAGAAGCTGCCTGTGCCTCTCTCTGTCCAATTCATGTGGTTGGAGGCCTTTGTGCCGTAGTACCTGGTACAGGCACTCGTGTAGATTGAGGTAAGTATGACTCAGCTGGAGAGAGGAGGGGGAGTTTAACCCGAAAGCCTGTTTTAACACTATTTTAACCTATGGTCCAGGGAAGTCTAGCTACTTCATTTTTTTTTTGCTTCTTCTCCATGTCTAGTCAACTCTTGATTGTTCGGAGACATTTTTCTTACCTCTTGTTTCTTCTGTTGCCTGCCTTTCTGGCCATTTCACTGCTTAATTGCACCTGAAATAACTTATATTGGGAAGGGCATTGGTTTGGGAGTTCCAGGGAACTGGGTTCTAGTCCTGGCCCGGTTAACTGACTGGCGTGGGGACCTTAGACAAGTCATTTCTTGGACGTCAGTTTCCTTATGTAAAAGACAAAGAGATTGGATTAAATGACCACTACATTCCTACCCCATTTTAAAATTCAGTGATTCGATAGAACATAGACCTGAAAATTCCATGGCCTGGGGTTCAGAACCTTGAGAATGGGAGAGTAAAGCTCTTGACTAGCTACTGAGGGGTGAATTGTGGACTCAGTTATCCAATTCAACTCTGCCTCTTGGATGATCAAGGGTTGGTTGTGGCTGAGGAGGAAGAAGCAAGGAGGGGCGAAGTTTCTGTGAAAAGGCTAGGACCGTCCTCAGTGACTGCTCATCTTTCTAGTCCTTTGCAATTGGGAGTTTTTAGGTCTGATGTGTTGTTTATCCGGTATATTTTATTTGTTCATTTATTAACTCATCAAACTCTTAAACAAATGGTGTTTTGTCAACTGTTATCGTGGTCACCCCACCACCAGGATTAAGAGAAATTATCCCTATTGGAAAACCAGTGGTGAATAAACTGAGGCGGGGACAGCTGGTGCAGTGTGTGTGTATTTATCTGTATTCTTTCTCATAGGTACCTTTAAATTTGTCTGGCTTAATTTAATGGGAACTTCTGGGACCTGCAGAGACTATAAAGGGCGAGGGTAAGGTTCTTGTCATCTCTTCAGGCTCTTCTCTTTCCAATGGAATTTCCTCCCTCTTACCCTCCCCCTCCAGCCCTCTTTTTTCCTTTCTGACCCGTTTGTGCTGCCTTCTCTCACTTTTCTCTTCCCTCTGTGTGTTTTTTACTTCTGCCTCTCTCAACCACCTTTCCTTCCAGGTCGTTTGAGTCAAGTTGAAGTAGGCAGCTGGTGCCACCCACCTTCCTGTACCCTGGGGGGGCCCAGTCTGCGTTATCAGTGCTAGGGGCTTTATTCTAACCTTCTGGAACCTCTGCTTTCTTTCTTTTTTTTTTTTCCCTTTTTTTTTCTCTTCTGTTTCTGTGTAGGTCTCTTTAGTCAGCCTTATAGCTAATGCCCTGGGCTACTCGGAACTAGGTGCCATAAAGTCCCTTAGGACCCTAAGAGCTTTGAGACCCTTAAGAGCCTTATCACGTTTTGAAGGGATGAGGGTAAGATACTCAGAGCAGCTGATCCTTCTGCATGCCAATGGAAACTGTTTAAGCATGCTAGAACTGATCACACTGGTGGAAAGATCATTTAAAAACAAACTTGTGATACAGCTGCTGACTTGATCCTCCACTCTTATTTCTCCCTTGCATCCTCCCCTTAAAAAGGGAAGTTGCATTAAGCCGCCTCATCACATGAATATTGCCCCTCCCCTCCCCCAACAACAACATGCCATTCACAAAACATGTTAACATTGGCTGTTCTCATTTGGCCTGGCTTTCCTTTAGCACTCCAGACGGCTTTCCGGGCTGTTGACTTAGTAGGGAGAATCACCAGGTGCAAAGAAGGGGAATTCTAACCCAAAGACTCATTGAAAAGTCTAGGCTTCACTCAGGGAGAGAGCTGTGTAGGGAAGCCTTTGGGGAGGGTCAGTGGCCTAAAGTCACTAACAAAGCCATTGAACATGAGGGGGTTCCTGAGGGCCTAGAACCACAATAACAGGAGTGGAATTGGGGACTGGGTGGAATTCGGCCTGACTGGGAGAAGAGATGGATGGTTCCCTCCCCCCCCTTCCCCAATTTAATTCCTCTTATTGCACCTTGTTGTTCTCAGCCCAGTCCAGATGAGGACTGGCAGCCTTTGTCTGATAGCAAAGCTTTCCTCTTCACCCCCTCCTCACTCTTCCCATGCTGTATGGACCCTTGTCCTATCACTGTCAAATTAGCAACAAAACACCATGCAAAAGTCTTGGCCATTAGCAAGTCCTCCAGAAATCTCTCAACCACTCCCTTCCTCTTACTTCTGGGGACTTCACTTTCAAATCCAAACAATGCAAGGTGTAGTCGCCCTGCCAACTGAAAAACAAGGCTCCTTCCATCGGGATGCCTCTTTCTGGCTGGGTTTTTCTTTTTTTGGTCGTTGTCGTTGTCCCCTCAAGTCATTTGAATCATTCATTGTCCCCTCAAAAAAAGTTCATTGGTTTTTTTTTAAAACCAAAACAGACAACTGGAACAGCTGATTTTTGAGTGGTAGCTGTTGCCCGGCAAATATCAGAGAGGTCTGTTACCCTTCATGAGGTCAAAAAAAGACTCACGTTTCCATTCAGATGTTGAATGCATGCAGGAGAGCAAACCAGAGGATATGTAGAGAATTTGCAGAATTTCTCATAAAGACCATTTGGGTTGGATTTGCCTTCTGGAATCCAAAAATGAAAATTAAACAGTTGTAATAGTCTACATGAAACAAGCAAACTGGGGAAACTATCTGCCAGCACAGGGTTTCTGAATTTGCTTCCTGTCCTGGAATCACTGTCTAGTATGCCTTGGACCTACCTATAGAGGAAGAGGAAGCTCAACGTTTCACTGTGTCTTTGTAGAGTTTATTGTCTTTATCCTGCCAAGTACCATTTGCAGCAACCTCATTTCCCTATTGTAGCACAGTCACAGTTGGGTCTCCTAAGTGTGAGTTATCTTGGAATCTGCCATGAATCCATGGAAGGTTCTGGAAGCTTAGTTCTCCACCAGTTTATTGGAATAGAATCCACTTCTGAATGTCTGAATTGATCAACTAGATATTCCTCGTCTTCCTCCTTTTGTTAAGAGAATGTGTGTCTCTATTTCAGTGTTATGATTCAGAGCTAAACCTCTGTAAGGAGAGGGAATGTCTTGTAGTGAGTGAGTAGAGCAAGGGGCTAAGCATCTGGAGCCCTCTTCTCATCTTGGTTCAGAGTCGTGGAAAAGAGGGTTAATGATCTCCCTGCTACTCAAGCTTATTCAAGAGATGTCAGTGCAGTACAAAGACCACATTAGCAATGTGATAGGTAGGCTATTTAAACCTTTTCCCACCTCTGGGACTTGCAACAGAAGCTCCTTAAATACAGCACATGTTACATACATGAACGTTTGCTCAGTTGACCCACAGTGCCATAGGCTCTGGTAGATTGATAACTACTCTCCTGAATTAGGTTTGTATTACATACAGAAAGCTAACGAAAAGTACGTAATAGACCTTAGTTCTCTCACATCCCCATGCCTAGAGGCTTTTTGACTTTACTGTCTCAAGGAAGAGTCTTCATTGGCTCTTTGGCCAATAACTGCTGGCTCATTGACAAGTTATCTGAATGCCTAATGGGCTTTTTCGTTGGCCCTGCCCCCATCTTCTGCCTCCTCACTCCTCTCTCCCCTCCTCTCCCATCCATTCCAGTCCCCATCCCAGAACAAGCATTTCCTTCCTGTTAGCTTCCAGGCAAAATCTGTGAGCCAGAAGTCTCAGAATTAGAGAAAGCTTCATACTGGTGCTATTCAGATGAACATAAGGACAGTGAAACTGCCTGCTCAGGTTGTCTCCAAAGATGATGTAAACAAAGCTGTGTGCTCCACCAAGACTTTTAAATATTAAATGTCCAGTGGAAATTGTTCTGTAAATGTATCCCCTACAACATTTGATTAGCTGGACTTGTGTCTTGTAGCAACCTCCATTTCCTCTGCACAACCACCAGGTTAATGCAGCAAATGGTGATACCGAATGGAGAACAAGGCAGGATGTTTGTGGAAGGAGGAAGGATGGGGAGGACGCAGGCTCATCATGCAGTCTCCCAGCAGGTCCCTAGAAAGCACCTTCCATAGGCCAAGACTGAATGCAGCCAGTAGGCTCTCAGCCACGTATCAGAGTTCCTCTGTAATAACTGGAACTTCCAAAATCAAATGTATTCAAGGATTGCTTTTTTTTTTTGGGGGGGGGGTTGTTTGTTTTTTTACTTTTGCTTTCCCTTTAAGCCAGAATTTTGAAATACTCCTCCAATCTTTAAATATCCTCATCACCTGAACATGCTCACCACTAATGGGCTCCACTGTCACTGTGCTACTTTAAATCAGGGCTCTGACCCTTACAAAACAGCTGTGCTTCGTTTTCATTTTTGAGAGGAAATAGATGTCCCCAACCCCATCTGGTGGAAACTGACTTCAGTCTTTCTTTCTTTCTCTCTCTCTCTCTCTCTCTCTCTCTCTCTCTCTCTCTCTCTCTCTCTCTCTCTCTCTCTCTCTCCTCCCTCAAGCCAAAGTCCAGAAATTTGAAATGCTTGTGCTATTGGCAAAGGAAAATCCACAATGTAGTTCTTTGCTTTTCTCTCCTTCGTGGTAGTCTGCATTCTAAAGATCTTGGTGTGCTACTAAATTATTGAGGACATAAAATAGTAATGCTGTGATACATGCATGCATTTTTGTCAGTTGTCAATGTACAGTCTGCACTGGAAAGCCATGTTCCCTCTGCCAGATGTTAAAAATTGACAGATTTTATGTATACATTGGGCATCCACAATGTGCTAAGTGCCATCGAGAGATTACAGAAAAGGTTTTTAGAACAATGACCTATAGTTGGGATTTAATCTCATTATCAGTCAAATATAATCTATACACATTTCATTGTGGTGTCATCAGCTAGATAAGAAGACTGTCTGTAGTTTGGTATAACCTGGCTTCGGTTTATCATCATTGATAATACCACTCGCATCTAGATAAGTTTACAAAAAATGAGAATGAATGTCTATGTAAAGACAGAGTACTTTCATTGACTCAATGGCTAGATGGCCACACAAGAGGTTTTAGGGAATAAAAGTTCAAATATATTTCGATGCCTAATTCATTGATCACAGCAGGAAAATATGAATTAACATTTGCTGTGTCCACACACTATACTAGATCCTGTGGACTAGGAAATTGGAATAAGGAGTCAGCATGGTTCTCTGCCCTTTAAGAACCAACATACTAGTGCAATACAGTGAGACAGACAATAGAAAAACTAGTTCTATATGTATCATAGCTTGGTAGCTAATTCCAGAATAGAGAACAACAATTAACAACTTCATGAATTCTGTTTGTATTTGTTCTTCTATTCATAAAGTTAATTTGAAAATAAAATGGCTTCCTTGATTGCCGGTAAATGAGTGTGCCAATAAATTCGAGTGCCAATGAGTGTGTTTACGTGGTATGTTCATATTTGAATTTCATTCGGGTCCACCATATCTTTCATGCCTCTGATCAAAGGAAAAAGGCTATAAGAAACAGCCTGGCATAGTGGAAAGAGCCCTGGATTTGGAGTCAAAGGACCTAGATTTGAGCCCCAGCATCACTCCCTATATAAATATGGGCAAGTCACTTCTTTCTGGGCCTCAGCTTCCTCATCTCTAAAATGAGAGTATTAGACGAGATGATCTCAATAGTCTCTTCCAACTCTAATTCTTATGCAGAAAAAAAATAATAATTAGCCATTAAAATATAAGCATGACTGAAAGATCAATTAATGAATTAGCCAGAAGCTCTTCCATTCTTGGGACATGTTCAGCTGTGGTACATACACAGGTTATAGGGTAAGTAAGCCTCTCTGTGCTTGTGTAGATTAGACTGGGTTAAAGATGAGTCAGAGGAGTCTTCGTCAAAGAAGTAGTCACCTAACTGAGTTTTAAAAAAAAGCAATGGGTTTGGCTTTTGTAACCTTTCGCTTAGATGGACTTCATACAAACTTGTAAAGTTCTCTATCTCAGAGTGCTATGTTCTTAGACACCAGATGCAAGGTCCTGAATTGGGCCCTGAAGTATTTTGGTATCTTTATGCAGCTTATTCTCATTATGTTTAGGGTTTGATTAGTCCATTTGGGAAGTATCCATCCCCCTCATTGCTCCCCCTTCTTTTTCTGTCTCTTCCTTTGCTCATTTGCTGCTTGGTCATTTCTCTGTCAAAAGGTGAACAAGGGCACAGCAGGAGGAGGTGAAGCTGAAATCAAACCCATTTTATAATTTATTAGCTGTTCTTGTTTTAAAAAAGAAAAGAAGAAATTTTAGTGACAGGGAAAATTAAAGCTGTTAGTTAAAATGAGATTTGCCCATTGTCTGCGGATTTTAATCATCTAGGTTTTCTCTGGCTAGACTAATTTGACAATTTTATACCAATGAGATTCAAATAGCTGAACTAGTGGATCTTGGAGAGATCCTTTTGATCAGAAAATTAAGAGACATTCACCTCCCAAACAATTCAGAGAACCTAAATTGGAGACAGCCAGAACCCACATTTTAATACAAAGATCAGGTCCGTAGGTTGTGATAGGAGAAGGTTATTCCTCCTTCCTTGGAAAGGGCAGATGGCCCTTCTCGGCCCCACATTCTGCACAGTGACAGAGCAGCCTGAGGAGAAAGTCTGTGAGATGAGAAAAAAAAAAAAAGGAAGCCTTGCCCAGAGGTCCAAGACAAGAGCGAGGTCACTGACACTCCTTCTTGGGTTTGTTAACTGAAAGCAGATCACACTTGGTTTATCTGTACTGTAAGCAACTGGTTACATTTCCTCTAAGGGAGAGCTAGGAAAAGCAATTCGTTCTTGATGATCATGATGATAGCTAACATTTCTATATCGCTTACTATTATCATCTCATTTGATCTCACAACAGTCCTGGGAGGTAGATGCTATTATTTTTTACAGATGAGGAAACTGAAGCAAACAGAGGTGAAATGACTTGATCGCACAGCTTACAAGTGTCTGAGGTCACATTTGAACTCAGATCTTCTTGAGTAATAAACTGAGTAGGGACTAGAGTCTAGGTTGTACCAACAGAGTATTTTTTCTTACTATATGATTGTTTTTTAAGGTGCTTTGAATTCTTCTAGTGAAAAGTGGCATAAAAAGTGGAAATAATAACCAGCTACTTTGCAAATTTTAAAGTGCTATATAAATGGTAGTTATTTTCGTCACCCACACTGTGAACAAAAATAAAGGGCCTAAGAGCTGAAAAGTAATGATTATTTCCTTGTTTCTGATTTGGGACTTACAATCGCTGGTCACCAACAAATGCCCTTTTTTGGTTAGCTATCAGAGACTCCCTAGAGAGTTTTTATGGCATTTAAAAATGAGATTGAAGAAGCAAGTCCGGCTTGGACCCAGCAAAGGGTCATCGGCATCAGACAGGGTAGGGAGTAGACTGTCTGCTGAACCAAAGGCTGGCTCATTGTGTGAAAAGCAGCTCTCAGAAACTCAGCAGCATATGAATTCAGAAACCGTGAAGGAGAAAGAGCCTGCAGAAAGCACATGGTTCCAATTTCATTTGACTGTTCGGTAGAGGGAATATAGCTTTTTTTCCTTGAGCCTGCAAAATATGCATGCTCAGCTATTGCCTGAAACAAGATAACTGGTCTTGCATAGTCACAAAAATACTCTATGTATTGTTCACTGACTCACTGTTATCTTCAAAAGGCAGTTCTCTGGTTGATCTTGACTGATCATACCTTGTTTTACAGTGGGGGAATGTCTGTTAAAGGCAGCTGGGAAGCTTGACATTACTCTGGGCTTTCCTAGATCTGGGATTTCCTATTTTATAAAGGATTTGGGATTGGGGAGAACAGGCTGAGCAGTCTGTCAGTCTAGAAAGTTGCTGCCTAGTAAAGAAGTGTCGGGACAACTTGGGCTGGAGAATTCATTTGCATTGAAATTGTGGCACATTTCACTAAAATGCTCCTGAAATACAGTTCACGGGCCTGGGTAAGTTTAGTCCTTCCTCCCTGTGGAACTGTCAGAGTAGAACCAGTCCAAAAGAGAACACGATGGTCTCCTGACCAGTATAAGCCACACAATATCATTCCCCTCCTGGAAATAAGGAAATGTGCTCTTGGAGCCTCCCTCCGTGTCTAAGCTCTCTCCCCCTTTCCAATGCAGGTGGTGGTGAACGCCCTGGTTGGTGCCATCCCCTCCATCATGAATGTTCTGTTGGTGTGCCTGATCTTCTGGCTGATTTTTAGCATCATGGGGGTGAACCTGTTTGCAGGGAAGTACCACTACTGCTTCAATGAAACATCAGAGTACCGCTTTGAGATAGAGGAAGTCAACAATAAATCAGACTGTGAAGCACTCATGGATGGAAACTCCACTGAGATCCGGTGGAAGAACGTAAAGATCAACTTTGACAATGTAGGGGCAGGCTATCTGGCTCTTCTCCAGGTGGTAAGTTCTGATATTCCTCAACGCCGGGCTGTTCCCCACCTGGTGCCATCTCTTGCAGGATTCATGAGCCAGGGTCACAAATGGCTCTCCTCAGGTCAAAGGCCCAAGCTAACTTTATGATTTCTAAAGCCCATCCAAAGCAAACACCCTGATTCTCTCTTTGCAAGTATGGTATAGTAGGAAGAGCTCTAAACTTACTCATGAGAGAAGACCTGGGTTCAAACCTGGCCCATGATACTTACTGGTGTGACTACGGGCAAGTTCTGTAACCTCTCTGGCCTTCACTTTTCCTTCTCTGTAAAACGGAGGCAGTAATATTTGAAGAATTACCTCACAAGTTTGTTGAGAGAATACAAATGAGAATGTGTGTAAAGGGTTTTGAAAACCTTAACGTGTGTTACAAATGTAAATGTCAGTTAGCATTAATTCCCAAAGAACCTTCTAACATCTAAGATCTTATTTAAAGGAATTCTTCTCTTGTAGCTCAGCAGCATTCTTCTGTTTGGCAACCACTAAGAAAAAAAATGGACAGAGGAATGACAAAATGGTGGTTTGAAGAGGGGAAAGAAAGGCTGCCCATTCTCTCCGGGCTGGCAAGAAGCAAGTCAGATCCAGCAGGGGCAGCAGAGTTTGAGACAGATCCTAGTATACATAATCAATTGTATTAAAGCCATGCATAATTTGTGCAGATATATGTCTAGAGTGGAAAATTACAAAGACAGTGGCCTTGCATATGGTCGTGTTCTGAAACTGTTACTCAAAATCACTTTCATGCTCAGCACCAGAGAAAGGTCACTGAAAGTCTAAGGAAGATTGCCTTGATAGAGAATGGAGATATATATATATATATATGTGGATGGATGTATTTGTATAATATGTGATATGTACTTATAGATGTGCACACAGATAGTTTTTGTTTTCTCTTACTACAGAAAATTCCACAGAAGTTACTACAGAATTTCGTTATTCCATGCCTGGTTTTTTTCCTGTCCCCCAATCTCTTAACCATGTCTCATGACTAGCTTAGATCTTGACTAGAGATAAAATGGGTAAAGACAAAGAGGGAGGAGCTGGTGGTAAGGTTTCTGAGGCTGCTGCCTTAGATGAAGTGTATTTGTGGAGGAGGAGGGTAGCCATTTTAAAATATGACCATGCATTTTTCAGACCCCTGTTATTTATTGTAAATGCCCTTAATTCAGAGACTAGGTGTCCACTGGGGCTCAGGAATACCATCCCGCCACGGACTCAAGCTTCCATAGGCACAGTAGTGTGACCTCATTGTCTTTGCTTCACTGTTAAATTACCCCCAGGTCCATTTTGTAGGCACTCTCTCTCTTTTTATTTTAGCAAAATATCCCTTTTGTCTGGGTTTTAGACCAAATGAAACATCTATTCTTCACCCAAGTGTCAATGTGGTTCTTTCCCAGACTGTCTCAGGTGTACTTAGTGACTTGAACAAAACCCCCTTGGGAACCATATTAACAAACAGTTGGGAAATGTTGTGTCTAAGCCAGAATGTACCTGGACTCTCACAGAGCAAGACTCTTACCTCCTGAGTGCTCCCTGAGACTCCAGCCTATTTACTTGTCCTTCCTTCCCCCATCCCAAAGCAGGCTGGGCTGCAGCCTGCACAGTCTAACTATGGCCTTTGTTTGTCAGGCGACCTTCAAAGGCTGGATGGACATCATGTATGCAGCTGTGGATTCTCGAAAGGTAAGAGCAAGATGACACAATGTATCCCTTCTTGATTTGGGCAGAAAGCAAGAGAGGGGAGAAAAAGTGAATTTAGTCTAAGGAAGTGTTTCTGAAAAGGTTTGGGATTAGCGTCTAGGGGAAATTATTGCATTACATGTTAATTACAGACCCTGGTTTCCCCCCTGAAAGTCCATCACTCTTCTAGGTTAGCACCAATTGATTAATGACTCCTAGAGCTCAGATGCTGATTCCTGCTTGGCCCAGTGGGATGCTGGCATCTGGGGCACATTGTGCAAGTCCATTCCCAGCAGATCAGTGTATCTCCCACTAGATTTCCCCTTTTTCCCAGGGGAGGCTTGGTCAGGATAGGTCCATTTTATCCCCAGAACTCTTGAACCAGTCTAATGAGAAGCATAAAATTTTCTTGTTCAATGGCAGGAGAGAACGAATGACGTGCAATGTCCCCTCCCACAACAGAGATGACCAGGGCAGAACAGGTGTTGCTGCTTTTCATATGTCACAGTCTAAAAGCTATAATTCCCCCCAAAACACACACACACACACACACACAGTTCTGAGGGGAACTTGACTTTGGAATTTTTCTCTTGTCTTGTGGCAGGCTGAACAGCAGCCTAAATATGAAGATAACATTTACATGTACATCTACTTTGTCATCTTCATCATCTTCGGTTCCTTCTTCACCCTGAACCTGTTCATTGGTGTCATCATTGACAACTTCAATCAACAAAAGAAAAAGATAGGTCTTCCCCCCTCCCATGACCCCCTGCCCTGCTCATCCGAGCTCTCAGCTGTCATCAGCATAAGACTGGGCCTCTCACAAGTGGAGCTTCCTCTCCTGACTCACAGAATTATAGAACCTGGGAGTTGGAAAGAGAGGGAGATCAGAGGTCATCTAGCCCAACCCCAGCCTGAGACATAAGGCCCCTTCTGTGACAGCTCCCTATTCACTCGCCTTGTTGCTAACACTCATTTTTGGTGTTTCAGGGGTTAATTATGCAGCTTGAGGATTATCCAAGTTTTCTCTTTCTCCTCCCTTCTCTTGTCAGCTCCTGAGCACTTTAATTACTTATTATCCTATTATTTAGCTGTCAGAACCAGAGAGAATCATTCTGGTTAAAAAAAAAAGCGATAGAAGAGGAATAGGAAATAGGAATCAATCAATCAACAAGTATTTATTAAGCACCTACTATGTGCCATGCGCTGTGAATTGTTGTAATAAAGTTTGAGGCATTTAATTTATTCTTGCTAACTATGGACCACTTATTTCGAGCTTGTATGAAAGACTTTCATTCGTTTTATAAGCCGGCTTCAATTACAAAAATTCCTAAGGATTCTCTAATTTATTTTGTTAAAACAGATTTTGGGGGTATTAAATATTACCTGAACTAAATGAGCCATGGGAAGTCTTATAATTGTAGAATGACTTTCTTTTTTATGTGTTTTCACTTTTTATTCTACATACCTCTTAGAAGAGATGGCAGGCAGGTCCAGGATATACTTATGTGGTTGTGAAGACATTTGTACTTATTTAAAAAGTCATTGCCCTCCTGAAAGTAAGTACTCAGTATAGAGAAGTCTTGTCAGTTTCCAGGAAAACTAGAACTTTCCCCTGACCACCTAGAGACTGGAAGAACTCAGTAGCCACATAGTGGCCTAGGTCTTCTCTAGCTTGGATCTGAGAGAACTCAAGTAAAAGGCAGACCAAGCCAGACACCCCAGGCTTTCCCTAAACAGGATTGATGCCCTAGGACCACCTCAGCCTCACCTTGTCCCTTAGAACTACACTAGGGGAGATTCAAAATGGAAAAATAAAAAGTCTAGTATTTGAGCATCCGTTGTAATAGCTCTTCCTCTCTTTCCTTCCTTTACTTTGGAGGTCAGGACATCTTTATGACTGAAGAACAGAAAAAATACTACAATGCCATGAAGAAGTTGGGCTCAAAGAAACCCCAGAAACCCATCCCCAGGCCCCTTGTAAGTGTATTCTGAGAGCTAAGGGCAAGAAGGCAATGCATGTTGGGAAAAGAAGTATCCTGGGCACTGGGAAGGAGGGAAAAGGGTAAATTATTTCTCTCTCGTTCTCTCTTCCTCACTGAACCATGCCATCCAGAAGATCTGTGGGTGAGGCGGGTAACAACCCTGGGCCTTTCATTGGTTAGGGGGGAGATATGATGAAGGAGCAAAGAGTTATCACGTTAACAATAACTGGCAAAGAGCCTAGTGAGACCAAAGGTTTAGATGAGCAAGAACTGGCTGGGAGAATAAATCCAAAAATGCATCTTTTTTTAGTTATTGTCTTCTCAGCTTTTCTCCACAAAGCACATTTTGATCTCTACAGACGGTTTCTTGAAATTAGCAGAGATTCTATGGATAGTCATTTGGAAAGAGCAGAGAGGATGGCAGAATGGGAAGCTAGCCTAGGCCTCTGCTGGTTCACACTCCCTGTGGGCTTAAAGTCAAAGCTCTTTACATGAGCCGATTTTTTGGGTGGTATCATTAGGCAAATAACATCTTAGAAGATGCATCCGACCTGCTGCACTTAATTGGTAGGTTGCTAAACTGGTTCCAAAACAGGAGATAGCCCAGCTATTTAGAGCTCAGAATTTAAAAGAAAAAAAGAAGAAAAAGAAATCTGGGAAAAAAGGGGGGGCATCACCCAGCAGTCCCAAGGTTCTTTCCTTTATTCCTTTTTATTAAAGTCACCATGGCAATAACTTCTCTCCTAGGCAGCATCTGAAACAGGAGTTCTTAACCTGGGATCCATGAACTTATTTAGTATTTTTTAATTTAATAATGAAATGTCAGTATAATTGGTTTCCTTTGTACTGCTGTGTATCTTATGCATTTAAAAACGTGATTCTGAGAAGGGGTCCATAGGCTTCATCAGACTGCTCCAACTTGATCTAAAATATTATTTTTAGCTACTTTTTTGCTCCCCCATCTTGTTTTTGAAATTTGTGGGAATTTGTGTCTTGAAGATAACGTTTACATGTACATCTGCTTTGTCATCTTCATCATCTTCTAGGATAGGAGAGAATGAACTTGAATATGTTTTTTTCAGGTGGATGCTTGTGTTCTTTGAAGCTAGTGCAATAGGGAGCAGTAGGATGAGCAGTAGGATGAGCGAATTCAAATCATTAATGTTACCGCAGACCTCACTAAGATAGCCTGGAGCGTCCAGGCCAAAGGAAGTCAGATTCTTGGGGCCACATTTTAAAGTGGACTTTAACAAGATGAAGAATGGCCAAAAGATGGTGACCAGGGTGGAGAAGGGACTAGAGACAGTGCTGAAGAAGGGCCTTTGAAGGGCCTGGAGAAGAAAAGGCTTAGTAAGGACATGATAACCACTTGACATATTTGAAGGACTGTCATGTGGAAGAGAGATGGGGCTTGTTCTGCTTGATCCCAAGGACCAGGCCAGGGGTGGGAAATTTGTGGCCTTAAGGCTGCAAGTTCTCTACCCCTGGACTAGGCCTAGAAGGAGAAGGTGGAAATTAGAGAACCAAATTAAAACTCAGTGAAAGGAAAACTTCCTGACAGCTTGCAATTGTGGAAAAATGAAAGGGGCTGTCTTGGGAGGTAGCTTGTTGTCCTTTTCTAGCAGTCTTTAGGTAAATGTGGATGACCACTTGTTGAGCCTCTTGTAAAAGAAATTTTTGTTTTAAGTATCAGCTGGACTGGGTGTCCTTCCAACTCAGATGCTGTGAGACAGGGGCAAGGAGGATGAGGGAATAGCTGGGGAACTGCCAGAGGAGGACAGACAACCAGACTGGGAAAGAAGACGCCCAAGCCCCTACCATATGAGGATCCTTTGAAGGGACTAAGAAGGTTTAACCTAGAGAAGGTTCCTCAAAGGGCACGTGAGAACAGTTACAAGAACCAGAGAGGCTGCCGTGTAGAAAAGAGATTGACCGCAGAGGGTCAAGCTGGTCAGACTGGCTGCCTCATAAGTTAGCGGGTCTTTAAGCAAAGGCCAGATGACAACTTGTTGGTTATGTTGTAGTGGGGATTCTTTTCGGGTATGGGTTGTGCTAGGTGACCACTGAGGCCCCTTCCAACTCTGAAGTTCTGCTTGGGATATTGGGAAGTAGGCATGGCATCAGTGGGTAGAAATGAAGGTTTTGCAGCCAGACAATTTTAGAAATCTCTGTGTAAGACAGGGCAACCACTGCTTCTAGCAGGATGCCAGAGCAGACCACTATAAAACAAAAGGGGAGAGTTGTTGGGTTACTAGAGTAGGGTGACCAATACTATATCTATTAGTCGAAGGCTTCCTTTGCTTGAGAAAGTCCTTCTGAATCTTTATGTTCTTTCTTCCTCTACATTTTTCCTCAGAACAATATCCAAGGCGTCGTCTTTGATTTTGTAACTCAACAAGCTTTTGACATCATGATCATGATGCTCATTTGCCTCAATATGGTGACGATGATGGTGGAAACGGACACTCAGAGCAAGCAGATGGAGAACATACTCTATTGGATCAACCTGGTCTTTGTCATCTTCTTCACATGCGAGTGTGTGCTCAAGATGTTTGCTTTGCGCCACTACTACTTTACTATTGGTTGGAACATCTTTGACTTTGTGGTGGTCATCCTCTCCATTGTTGGTGAGCCACAGGGATCAAGAGGGGAGGGCTTCTGGCATTTTGGGGACAGACTGGGTCCCCCACCCAGCTCAGAAACATTTATACTACCTGCAGTCAACAAGGAAATCATGAGCATCTATGAGAGAGATGACTGAGCTATGTATCAGGCTTTAGGTATGAGGAAAAAATTAGGCTGGGTCCTTGCTCTCAAAGAATATAACAGTCTAATAGGGAAGAAAAAATAGATGTCATCATCAAAATATTTGTTTAAAATACTGAAGGGAAGTATGAAGAGAGGAAAAAACCTAGTCAGAGATTTTTAGGTTTAAAGAATGGTGAGGAAAATCCAGAAAAAAAATTCTTGGAGTAGGTGGCTTTATGCCAACATTTGAAGTATAAGGAGCTAAAAGTGGATGCAGACTGAGTATATTGTCCCACCACTGGAGGTTTTCACTAGGACAAGGTGGGGAAGCTTCCCTGGTTCACTTCAGAATTGGCCTTGAATCCTGGCTCTCAGAGTGAGACTCAACCCAGAAGACATTTGAAGTTTTTCTTGGTGTCCTGCTGAGAAAAGAGGGGCTGACATGTGAGGTGGGACTATTTGCTATCATTCCTTATCCCATCCACTTTTGGGACTATTGACCATTATTACTTATCCTCTCCTGGTAGCTACAAGTAGAGGTAATGCTGTCTTGGGAACAGTGGTGGGTGCTGTAATTCTGCATCTGCCAGCTCCAATAACCCCAAAGCTAGCTTGCTTCTCCAATTTTTGCCTCTCTCTTCCCTGAAAATAAAAATCCAATTTGAACTGACTCCTGATGACCAGACACCATGTAAACCCGATAGGCACTAAAAAGTAGTAGGTGTTACCCAAGGTAAAAAGAGTTCAGGAAAAACCTTGGATTAGAACTATGGGCAGTGAGGTTATTCTTTGTTGGGCTTAGATCATATTCAGCTTTTTTGAATACTTCACAGAATCCTTAGGCTAGAAGAAGTCCAGAGAGGTCGGTCAGTCACTCAATCCAGCTCCCTTCCTTTGGACATTCCTGAAAGAGAAGGTTCTCTTGCTTTTAATCCTCTCAAGGAGGGGAATTCCCACCTCGCCTCATTAACACATTTCAATATTCAGTTTCTTGGTAGAGTTGTTCTAATTTATACCCTCTCATGTCCCAGGTGAAGCTTCTTCCTATTTATTTTGTCTTTGGAAGAAATCAAAAAATAACTTACCACCTTCTGTGAGAAAGCTCTTCAGAAACTGATTTTCCCGTGCAGGTTTTTTGTTCTGACTTTTTCACCATCTCATATTTCTTCTCTCTATGCTTCTAATTTCTCTACCCTCACTCTTCAGTTACATAGACCACTATAGAACTGTAGTCAGGATCTTATCCAGGCTGAATGTAAAGGGAAAAAGACCTGGCCTGTACGTTTTGCCAGCGTGTTTGCGTCTTTTGACAATGTGGGCATTTTTTACATTTAACTGTGGTACCATGTTGAGACCTTAGGTACAAGAATTTAGTCTATGTAGGACCTAGTCCTTGTAACCCCAGGGATGCCATTCCATTCCCATGTGTCCTTTTCTTGTCTCTCAAGGATGTTGTAAGTGTGAAGGAGATGGTAAACTTGACATTTATTTCAAACCCCTTGTAGGAAAGGCACTTTGCATGTTTACTGTACTGGTCCTGTAATTTTTAACCTATGAGAAATTGGGGAATATTTTCTCTAAGGAGACCTATGACTGGTGGCGGGAATTGGGCTGATAAATTAGTATGGCTTTCTTAGAACTAATGGAGCCTGGGCAGGGAGATTAGGGCTAGATTGTGTCCATATTCTGACTTGTCTTCTTCTACCCTTTTTTTCCCTAGGAATGTTCTTAGCTGATATAATAGAGAAATATTTTGTGTCCCCAACTCTATTCCGAGTCATCCGATTGGCCCGAATTGGACGCATCTTGCGTCTTATCAAAGGAGCCAAAGGGATCCGTACCCTTCTCTTTGCCTTAATGATGTCCTTGCCAGCCCTTTTCAATATTGGCCTTTTGCTCTTCTTGGTCATGTTCATCTTCTCCATCTTTGGGATGTCTAACTTTGCTTATGTCAAACATGAAGCTGGCATCGATGATATGTTCAACTTTGAGACGTTTGGCAACAGCATGATCTGCCTGTTTCAAATCACCACCTCAGCCGGCTGGGATGGTCTCCTGCTGCCCATATTGAACCGCCCACCTGACTGCAGCCTGGACAAGGAGCACCCAGGCAGTGGCTTTAAGGGAGACTGTGGGAACCCTTCAGTAGGGATCTTCTTCTTTGTCAGCTACATCATCATCTCCTTCCTAATTGTGGTAAATATGTATATTGCCATTATCTTGGAGAACTTCAGTGTGGCCACAGAGGAGAGTGCAGACCCTCTGAGTGAGGATGACTTTGAGACCTTCTATGAGATATGGGAGAAGTTTGACCCCGATGCCACCCAATTCATTGAGTACTGTAAACTTGCAGACTTTGCTGACGCTTTAGAGCACCCGCTTCGTGTCCCAAAGCCCAACACCATTGAGCTCATTGCTATGGATCTGCCAATGGTAAGTGGGGATCGCATCCACTGCCTGGACATCCTTTTTGCCTTTACCAAGAGGGTCCTTGGGGACAGCGGAGAGCTGGATGTCCTTCGGCAGCAGATGGAAGAGAGGTTCGTAGCATCCAACCCTTCCAAAATGTCTTATGAGCCCATCACCACCACACTGCGGCGCAAACAAGAAGACGTGTCAGCAGTGGTCCTTCAGCGCGCCTATCGGGGACATTTAGCCAGACGAGGCTTCATCAGCCGAAAGCTAACCTCCAATAAGCTGGAGAATGGGGTCACACACCAGGAGAAGAAAGAGGGGACCCCTTCTACAGCCTCCCTTCCGTCCTATGACAGTGTAACTAAGCCCGAAAAGGAGAAGCAAGAGCGCGCAGAGGAAGGAAGAAGGGAAAGAGCCAAAAGACAAAAAGAGGTCAGGGAATCCAAGTGTTAGAGGAAAAGCAAAAAATTATATATTGTACAGATTTAAAACTTGAAAGTGAAAGATTGTTTACAAACTTCCTGATTATTGTCAGTGCAGAACAGCTGTGGAAACCCTTCCCCAGAGATCTATACCAGACGTAGTCCGCTTCCCATATAACAAGGTTGCCGTCTTGAGCAGTGACCTGCCAGAAGCAAAGGACCCTTCTCACAGACACACGGATTTCCTAATGCTCGGGCAGGTGGTTACTGCATGTTTTCACATCAGTCAATGCAACTTTAGGACAAAACCAAGAGGAAACAAAAACAGGACGCAGTGAATAGGCTGCAGATTTCCGTTGCAGCCAAACAGGTTTTATTTTCTCATTTTGTTGATTCTCAGAAGCAGAAAGCACCACTTTAAAAGTTTGTTTGTTCATGCAAACTATATTTGCATTCTTACATTAGTTAAGCAGCTAAAAAAAAAAAAGAAAGAAAAGAAAACACATTTAGCCCATGTCATTTAATTGTCAGTTTCTTTGGTATTAACCGCATCTTCTTTACATGGGCTTCACATGGTTTGGAGATGGGTGGGAAAAACAACCAGGTTTCTTCAGGCTGAGGAGGACTTGCTCAGGCCAATTCCAAACATTGTGCTCGTTCAATGCGTAGAAATGATTTGCATGATGGCATGCTGTGATCAGAAGTCATGCATGAGAACCATACACCACAGGACACTAATGACCTGTCCACTGCACTGGGTCATCCTTGAGACCGGACCCAGCCCTGCACCGGCCACTGTATTGGGAGAAAACGGTAAGATGTCCACGCCCACTACAATTCCTAATCAATTCTTATAAGTCTTTCGTACACTTCCCAGGTCAAAACAAAACAAAACAAAACAAAGCCAACCAACCAAACCAATAAGCAGACCAAATCGTTGTTTGTTTGTACGTTTCACAGCCATTTCTGACATACAGCCATTGTTGCACATTTAAACCATGAACTCCTAAATGCTGCTCGATGTCCTACTCATGGGGATACTGATACCGAATGGCTTGTATTAAAAGCATCACTGTAAAACCAAATCCTAGGGCTTACAGAAACAAACAAAACCAGTTCGTTTGTATCTTGCAATATTTCTGATGATTATTCAGCCTTTGCACTGGAGAATAGGCATTATTTTGGATTGAGGTAGGTGCTGTTGAAAAGTAGCACGTTATCTCTTGGTAATTTCGGGAACTTGAACCAACCTCACTTCACCAAGGCTCACTTCACTTAGCATCATGTCTTTCTGTATTCTTGCTTTCTCTGGAAGGAGGAAGTGGGGGGAGGAGGGGTTCAGATATTCTATCCTGGTCTTTTGGCTCTTCTGCAGTGGGGTGGTATGTACAGCCTGGCTCTCTGCATGACCTTTCTTTGCTTCCATAACATTTTCCACCAGACAGGGGTTCTCACTGACCTCCCTGGAATGGGGTGGACAGAAGCAACAGGACAGTCCTGGGGCTCTCACTGGCCTTTCTGGTAGAGCAGGAGTTGAAAAGTCCGGAGGTGGAGACGGAGCCACCTTTTCACCTGATTTCATTTGAGTTCCTCTCTGCAGTGCTCTTGATGAGAAAGGGATTTCATGATCCTACTCCAGGAAGCTCTCATTTCTCCCAGCACATTTGGTTTCTGCCAGATTTGTTGTCCGTTTAGTTAGTTCTGTATTCCTGCTGTCCATTTCCACTGGCCTGTGATTTCAGGGAAGGGTTCCCTTGCCCAAAGAACGAACTGCCCCTCAAAAAACATCCCTTTCCATTTCCTGTTTAAGGAAAGAATGTTTCAGTCCCGTGGTTTCTCATTGTGCTGACTTTTGGTTTTCAAACTGAGATGCTGCAGCCAAGTGCCAGTGAAAGAAAAGAGGGAGAAAGATATTAAAGTGTGGACCAAATCAAATACGACCTTCTGGAACCAGGAAAAGGGGGGAGATGCCCCCAAAACATATACACACCGACCTGCCTTGCAATAGAAGCACTTAGGCTGTCATTTCACAGTGTACCTGGCTTGTTTTGCATAGACCAAACCACAGGCGATCAGTAAGCAGAGCTCTCCATCTGGCTGGACTGAGTGAGGAGGGAGTGAGCTCCATTCAGTTCTCTTAAGCCAATTCCAGCAGTGTCATCAGCAGAGCTGTCTATCCTACTATACCAGACACAAGAATGGGAAGTCATTTTTATCCGCCAGTTACCCTCCCTACCGCTAGGTTGTATAGTCACAAACATATGTACAGGCTCCATTGTAAACAGCACAAAAAAAGCTGAGACGTGTGGTTAAACTTTTTAAGAGAATTATAAATACTGTAATATATCATCATTTTATTTTATTGGCATGCCTTTTGTAAATACAAAAGATTAACTAAATTAAATAGGAAATGGCTTCTGGCTTATGCCATTGTCATGTTTATTTTTATTTTTTATACTTTCTTTCTTCTTAGGTCTTAGATGCTGTCAGCCAATGTACATCCCCAAACCAGACAGACAAAAAATTTTTTTATTGCTAATGGTCTTTTCCAAAATGACAAAAAAAGTTTATTTTTGTTCCAATGTGCAATAAATTCTAACCACTTCTATGCAAGATTTGGCTAAACTTCATAATTGTTCTTAGGTCTTGAGATGGGCAACAGAGTTGTAATATCCAGCATGGCAGGTACATGGAGTGCTCATGATAATGATGTCATTAAGCTACTAGAGCATAATAATAAGATTTTTCCTGAAATTTGACTTATTTTTCCTTGCCCACATTCCCCGTTCCCAATCCCAACAGGCTTCTTCCTCAGTACCACATGGGCCTTGGTGTCTGACATCCCTCCACCAGCTTCCCGGGGAATATTTCATTCCCTCTGTCATTTGAAGTTTCATCTTTTTTTTCTTGTTAAAAAAAAAAAAAAGAAAGAATAACTCTTCTAACCCTCCACCCTACTCCACACTCCTTTTGGTAGCAAATGACACCATCACCAGCAGTTTACACCCACAGAGAATGGGCACTGAACTGAGAGAATTACTACTGACATTTTTGTATGTCTTCCCTGAGCAGGTGAGTGGCAATACTTTGCCAAAAACTAAAAATGCCAATCAGGAAAGCAACAGCATCCGCAGTACCACTGCGCGCATATATATATAGATATAGATATATATATATAGATATATAAATATAATATAAATATTTATTTTTGGTAGCCAGGTCCTTGGTGCAGTATTTATACTTGGGAATCCACCTTTAAAAGAGGACAAAAAAGCAAACAGACACACGATGCTGTCCATTTACAAAGCAAAGCCAAAGCCACGAGCAGCAGCATCAGGCATTGCAGTTGGTGGTGGATCCGTACCACCCCTCCCCCCCTTCCCTTCTTTCCTTCCAACTGTGTTTGCTCTTGAGGAATTCCGAGCAGAGGGCAAGATGGGAGTTGGGGGAAGGGTAGAAAAAACTGATCAAATCCAGATGAGCTGCTCTCAGTCCTCGCTGAATGCACCCTGTTTGGCATGGGGAGTCCAATGTAGGAGAATGAAGCAGAGACCCCGAGGCAGAACCCCTAGGGGTCACTTCACCCAAAGTCCTTTTCTTTTTCTGCCGAAACAACTGTAAGCCTGTAAAAGACCAATAATGAAAGATGAGTGTATTAGTGAATGCATGGAGACCGATGCTGCTCTGAGGCAGGTGTGATCAAATGCATCGCGATCATAAGCCAAAAGGAAACATAATAAAAATTACCCTTTTTACTATACAAGGGAAGTTCGTCTTGGTGTGTGTCTGTTGCTTGACTGTCCCGGTTCTTGAGTTCTGGTTTGGGTCTGGAAAATGAGATGGTAGCAAATTTGATTTGGGAAGGGAGGAAGGAGAGGTCAGAAAGTCTCTTAGAAGGCTCTGGTTTGAGGGGGAAGAGCATATTAAGATGGGGGTGGAAAACATGACTCAGACTCAGATGCCTCCCTCTGTCAATTGTATGTACCCTCACTTGCCCACTCTGGATCTTGGCCCAGAACCCCCTGAAAACCTACAAGCCTCCCTGGCTGGGTTCTGTAAGGGGTCACTAGTGTTGGTCCTGCTGGTTTGGTCTCAGCTGCTTTCCCCATTACATAAGAAAGAAATTTCACCCTTCTTCAGTGGGCACAATAGCCTCCCCACCTCCTCTGCTATGCAATACGCTGACCCCTGGCTACACTGCTTCCCCGGCTGGACAAAACGGGGCTGGTTCTGAATACAAATCACTCCCAAGAGCACTCTACAACAAGCAGGTGAAGGGCACCCCTCTTTTAGGCCATATCTCTGGTCCAGAAATACATAGTAGCAAAAACAAGTGTTTTTTGTTCCGGTTGGGAAGCTGCAGTTTTGGAAGGAGGTAGATGGTGGACCTATCCCCAAAGCCAACTCTTGCTCTCTTCTCCCGGCCACCCAGCCCTCCCTGGCCCCCAGGCTCTGCAATGGAGGCACATTTGCCATCAGTTAGGACTTGAACCCTGAGCATCTTCAACCATGTTGCCTACTTTTTCCCCAGTGCCCAAAGTTTTTTGCAAAAAGCTTTGTTCATTTTTCAGAAACCTCACCCCACCTCACTGCACCTACTCACACTCCCCGTGGAATTGGCTACCAACTGGCCAGCACAGTGGGGACATCAGGTCAGGATCGGGGAGAGAATGCAAGGGTTGCACCAGAATGGAACAAATCGCTCAGCGCCTGGTTGCCTTGGTCTTCCTTCTCAAAAGGTAGCCAGCCCAGCTCTTCCCAAAGTCAGAACAATCTCCTGGGGCTCCCACTGCTGCTGCTGTATATAGATGTTGTTGAGAAGCTCGAGGTGGGTGTGGGTGTGGACGTGTGTATTGTATGTATGTGCGTGTGTGTGTGTGTGTGTGTGTGTGTGTGTGTGTGTATAGGACATTTATAGGTAAAGGGGAGTGTGATCCAGTGGTTTCAGCGAAGGGGCAGGACTCCTGGATTCCACCCTCAGCTCCTGCCACTGGCTCGTTCTGTGGCCTTGGGCAAGTCACTTAACCTCTCTGTGCCTCAGTTTCCCCATCTGTAAAATGGGGATAATAATACTGACCTACCTCACAGGGGTGTTGTGAGGCTTCAACTAAATGTCTGTAAAGCGCTTTGAGGTCCATGAGGCAAAGGCACTAGGGAAGAGCAAAAAAGTATTATTATTATTACTATTCTTGAACTGAGGAAGACGAAACAGTACCATAAATGCTGCTATTATGAGAGCCATTTTAAATTGCACTGCTCCAACCACCCCCACTTCTCAGCATCAGAACAGCAGGTCGAAAAAATGGCTTTCTTTTCACTTGCTTCCAGAGTTGGTGATAACTAGACAGTCTATATTGTTTTCCTTGCTGTATCTCCTTCCCCTTCCCTCTTGGCTTGTTCCCTGTTCCCGTTTCTTCGGAGAAAGGCAGGCATGCTTGAGACATGAGAATGTATAGTGGGTTGGAAGATCACAGTCTGAAATTTTGATTTTACTTTGTACTGTACATCTTTTTACTTTAGAATTTGCAATAAAGGGTTACGTCAATCTTGTTTTCAACTCTCCTCTTGGATTGGCCTATCATTCTCTCACTGCTGTCAATCTTCATCTCCCTCAGCAGAGCCCTTTTAGCCCAGCCTTGGAGGGAGGGAAGGAGGCTTCCATCAGGGATGACTGAGAGGAGTCAGGTTCAGTCCTGAGCCCACCCTGAAGCTCACCAAGATCTAGGTGAGAAACGACCTGGTGGGATGAGATGAGTATGGGCTAAATTGGCCTTGGTCCGTATTACACACACACACACACACACACACACACACACACACACACACACACACACACACACACACACACACACACACACACACACACACACACACCCCAGTATGCTCAATAACCTACCTGACTGTTTGGGAAAGATCAGAAAGACAATTCTCAGCAGGCTAAGCTTATAGTTGAGGCTGCCTAAACTCTTAGGATTTTGCCCAGCCTGTTGAGGAAGAAAGGAGAGGGCTGTACCCTGCACACTTACATGGACCACAGTGACAGCCAAAATAAGAGTCTACAGCATCACCGCCTGGTATAGGAAAAACAGTAGAGTGGAATTTGGAGTCAGAGTTTCTGGATTCACGCTTTGACTGTCCCCGACTTTGCTGTGAAACCTTAAGCACCATTTCCCTTTCCTGGACTCCAAGTTCCTTCTCTGTAAAATAGGGGGATTGGACTAGATGGTCCCTGATCTCCTTTCTATCTTTAAAATCCTATCATAGGACAGTTTCTAATTCTCTGAGTCACCGACTTAGCTATGTGACCATGGACACGTGTTTCCCCATCTGTAAAATGGGTCAAGTTCTTTCCACACAAGGTGATTGTGATGATCATAACAAGAGATAACAGAAAAGACTGAAGACCTGGGTTCAAATTCTGCCTCTGATAAATACTGTTTGGGTGACTCTGGGTAAGTCATTTAACCTGTCCATGGTGGTTGTCAGAGACGTTGTCGACCTTCATTGGTAGAGGGAATTTCCTCACTGGCTTAGTTCCCAATACCAATCTTCAGACTATCTTGTTGCAAGATGACTCTTGTCACACACCTGTAGGTACTTCTTCCATTTTCTGCCTGCTGCCCCCTCCTCTGTCCACCCAGCACCCCCATGCTTCCCCTTCCCCCCTCCAAAGCACCCCCTCATTACTTCTGGCCAGAGGGAGGGAAGTGGGCTCTGGTTCTGATCCCTTCTGCTCTCCCCTGCTCCTGAAGGTCCCCTGAGGCTACCGCTCCCTTCTCCTGCTTGAGCCTGAATTTGGCCTGCAACTAGAGCTTAAGTTTTCGAAATACATGATTTGTTGAGGCCAGTTTGGAAATGCTGTTGCTGGGATGATGGCATGGGCAATTTAAATGATGACTGTTACTTCTTTATGTCCTCACATGAGTAAGGAGAAAGAATTTAGGTCCAGATAATTATCAGCACACCAAGTCTTTTCGAACCCGTGCTCTACCCCTATTTTATAAACAAATAAACATCTTTTGTATTGTTTTTGAAGGTTTATTTCCAAGACACCATCACGTGTTATTTTTCCTCTGTGTGTGTGTGTGTGTGTGTGTGTGTGTAATTGTGTGATTATAACATCCTACCATCCTACCAGTATTTGATGTCTGGTTAGGAAACAGACTTCTCTCCGTTTTGCAGATTGGGAAACTAAGAATCATAAAAACCGAATGTTTTCACACACAGTGCGGTTACCCTCTTCTCTTACAGACCAGGGGTGTGTCCCTACAGCTCTGGGACACCTAGGAGATGGTGAGAACACCAAGATGACCTTTATTAAGGAAGAGTTTTTATTTCCCACAGGCAGTGGGGCCCGCTGGGTCTCAAGAGGGGCATGGAGGCTAAGCTGGGGCTCTCGGGCCTGTCCTCCCTGTCCTGCTTCTCATCCCCATCATTCTCGGTAATGCACAGCGTGAGTAGGACGATCAGCATCCCGAGCCCGAAGGCGCCCATGAAGCCGCTGAAGAAGCCGAGGGCCAGGGGCGCGGCCCAGCCGGCGGGACTGCGCGGGTACGGGGCCTGGGGCAGCCTCTCCACGATCAGCTCCAGCGCGTCCCAGGCATCCCAGACATCCGAGTCGGGAGGGACCGCGCGGGGCTGAAGGGGCTGCGCTGGGGACGGTTGGGCCGCCGCCGCTTCCCGGTAGGGCAGCGCGAATTTCCGCAGCTCCAGGGTGGCTTCTTGGTGCAGGCTTTTGGCCAGCTCCCGAGCCACGTCCGGGCGGCCGCAGCGCCGCAGAACCCGGGCTACCCGGTCCCACGCCAGGGCTGGCGCCTTGGCCTCCATCCAGCTCGCCAGCCCCTTCCGACACACGCCGTCCGGGTCGGGAGGCTGCGGCTCCCGCTCCTCCCGCCGCCGCCGCAGCAGCAGCCACCCCTTGCTACCCTCGGGCTCTGCGTCTCGCGGCCTCCGGTCCTCGGACAGTCGGGCCAGCTCAGCCTCCGGGTCAGGCTCGGGCGCTTCCAGGAGGGCTCGGAACAGCTCGCATTCCTCTGGGGTCAGCATCTCGGCCAGGCGGACCGCCATGTGAGGGCCCATCGCGTCCTCGGCCGCAGACGGCCCCGGCCTCCAGCCCCCTAACACCATCAACACCAGCGCCAGGAGCGGAGCCCGCACCCGCCTACGCACCATGGTCGCAACCGGCCACTGCTCGGAGATTCGAAGGACAGTGGGGGGAGGACGCTGAGAACACAGAGGGAGAATGGGGAGGGGTGGCTTCTGTCCAGGCTCTGCCCCGATCTTCGCCCTAGAGACACACCTTTTTTACAAGCAGTAAAGTATCCCTAGCTCTGATTTTTCAGCCTCAGGTCATGGCTGCGTTTGGCTACGCTCTTGGACCCTTTGGGAGTGTCCCCCTGAAATCTCAGTGCACTTTCTACAACAGTAATTTTCATGCCAATCCCATTTTCTCTTACACCCACGTCTTTGCGACTTTCTCATCCCTTAACACTTTCCCAAAAAAGAATGTAGAAACCTTTGAAGTTGGAAGAGCATAGATTTAGCCCCGGAAGAGACTTTGGAGGTTTCTTAGTCCCATTTCTTCATTCTTCCCATGAGGAAACTCAAGCCAGGAGAGGGGAAGCACAATGAATTTAAGGGCAGAGCTAAGACTAGAACCCAAGGCTCCTGACTCTCCTTCCCTCCCTCTTACCTTTTCCTGTCTTGCACTCATATCCCTGGAGACCACATCCGATCGATAATAGTGAAACTCAGCTGATTTCCTTTTTAAGAGTCCTAAAACCCCTTATGCCCAGGTGGGTATTGGAGGGGGGAGAGAGATAAAGGACCCCACCATCCCCTGCCTTTTAGTACTGGAGGGGTCAGATCCTATGGCATCCCTATACCAAAAAGAACTAAATTTCCATGCAGATAGGGGGCCAAGGTCATTTTCCCTAGTGCCTTTCTTCTACAGTCCCTAAAAGCGTCACCCACCGGTACCCCTACCCCAGCCACTTACAGTCAGGGCAGTAATTATTGGAAACACAAAAGGTTTTCACTGTTGTTTCGACCTATTATGACAGGAGGCATTTTTACAGAATTTTCCTGACAATAACCCAGTGAAGCAGACAGTATGGGAATTATTACACCCATTTTAAAGATAAAGAAACTAAGGCTCCCATGATCACAGCACACGTGTCTAATTTGTGTCTAAGCTTCCTAACTTGCATTCCATTATACCATAATTCTTCTTAGGTAAAACCTCTTGAGGACAAAAGACTATCAGTATGCCAACCTCCCTAAGGCCATGCCCTCCATCTAGGCAAATCTCTGCATATGGCCTCCATGATTATATGGTGGGGCAAGGGACTCTGGGACAAAAATTGTCTTACTTTCTGTAGGACCTTGGGCAGATCCTGTTCCCTTCCTTGATTTTCCCATCTTTACATGGTGGGAGTGAGGGGAGTTATACACATGGACAAAATCCCTCTTCTAAAAGTCCATTATTCCTCTTTCAAGCACTCTTTGGCTTTTGAGGCTGTTCCCTTACTCTCTTGTATCCTCACTGCATGCATTCATTCAAGTTCCCTACTGAGGAGAGATAGCAGGGAGGCCTGTGTCCTAGGGTAATTTTGTGAGATGGACAACATAGTCAGGGCTTGGGGTGGGGGTGGGAGGTGCAGTCTTAAGGCCAAGGTTCCACAGGGTTGGGCTCTGCCCAACAGCTAACTCCAGCACTCTGCAGAAAGATTTTATTTTTACATGTGAACAGAGGTTGGTCCACATAAGCACTGGGGTTGCTTCCTTAGATTCTAAAGTTAATATGACTCTATAACCTAAGATTGTCTGTCATCCTGGCGCATCAGAGCAGGGCCTTCCCAGAATCCTTGATAGAGGCTTCAAATTTGTTCCAGGGTTTGTTTGTTTTTTAAACAAAGGTCTCTGCTGTCCCCACTCCACGTCCCATCCCCAATTATGGAGATATCCTTAACTTTGGTCAAACCTGGACTATTCTTCAGCCCCATATCGTGTCCCATGGGATCTCAAAGCACTTTATAATATCAATAGTCTCCACTTAGTTCCCCATTGTGATCCAAGAACTAGTATCCAGCCTGTATAGGCCCTTGACCTCTGCTATTCCTCCCTCTTAGTTCTCATTCTTTCTCCTTTTCCTCCCTTCCATTTCCCTCAGGCCCCTCTACCTCCTATTCAGGACTGGGCTAGTGAATGCCTTTGGAGAGAAGTGAGCCTGTCTCCCCTCCTTCCACTGGGAAGAAAAGAGAAAAGATGTGGCAAGGGAGGGAGTTCCCTTGGCTGGCTCAGATCAGCAGGATGTTGTGGGAGGAGGGAGAGGAAGGTCTGTCTGCCCAGCGCAAGAGGTGAGTCGAGTTGTATGAGTCCCACCCTAATCAGGAAGGACAGAGGCTATGGGTATGCCAAGACATAAAGACAGGGTCCATCTCTCTTTCATACAGAGATGTGCCATCACACACAAACACACACAAAAAAGTCTCATAAAAGTCTAGTGCTGCCAATAAAAGTAGAATATACCAGACACATACACATGTACCTGTATGC